CAATACTAGTGGGAGACTTCAACACCGCTTTGTCACCTCTTGATAGATCAACCAGACTCAAGCTTAGCAAGGACATACTTCATCTGAGGGAAACAATGGAAGAAAGGGACTTAGTAGATATATACAGGACACTTCATCCACAAAAAGCTGAGTACACATTCTTCTCAAGCGTACATGGAACATTTTCCAAGATAGACCACATGCTGAGCCACAAAACATGCCTCCATAAAATTAAGAAGATAGAAATTATATCAACAATCTTCTCAGACCAAAATGCGCTGAAATTAGAAGTAAATCACACACAAAAACAGAAAACTAAATCAAACACCTGGAAATTAAACAGTGCGCTACTGAACAACGAGTGGCTTAGACAGGAAATTAAAGAGGAAATCAAAAGATTCCTAGAAACAAATGAAAATGAGGACACGAGTTACCAAAACTCATGGGACACAGCAAAAGCTGTCTTAAGAGGAAAGTTTATAGCTCTACAAGCATTCCTCAGGAAGGAGGAGCGAGCCCACATAAATAAACTAACCTCACAGCTTAAGAACTTGGAGAAGGACCAACAAAAGGAGCACAACCCTAACAGGAAGAAAGAAATAATAAAACTCAGAGCAGAGATTAACGAGATGGAGACCCAAAAAACAATCCGAAAGATCAATGAAACCAAGAGCTGGTTCTTTGAGAAAATTAACAAGATCGATAAGCCCCTAGCAAAACTAACAAAGAAAGGGAGAGAGAAAACCCTAATAAACCGAATCAGAAATGAAAAGGGGGTCATTACAACAGAAACCACAGAAACTCAGAGGATACTCAGGGAATACTTTGAGAAGCTTTATGCCACGGAACATCAAAACCTCGAGGAAATGGATAAATTTCTAGACGCCTACAGACTCCCAAGGCTGAACCAAGAAAACCTGGAATACCTGAACAGACCTATCACCATCAAGGAAATTGAAATGGTAATAAAGAGTCTCCCCAAGCACAAAAGCCCTGGCCCGGATGGATTCACTAGTGAATTCTTCCAAATATTTAAAGAAGACTTACTCCCAATCCTCTTTAAGCTTTTTCACGATATTGGAATATCAAATACACTTCCGAACAGTTTCTACGAAGCAAGTATCACACTGATACCAAACGCAGACAGAGATAACACAAAGAAAGAGAACTACAGACCGATATCCCTGATGAACACAGATGCAAAGATCCTCAACAAACTACTAGCAAATAGAATCCAACTACTCATCAAAAAGATCATACACCATGACCAAGTAGGATTCATCCGAGGGATGCAAGGATGGTTTAACATTCGGAAATCAATCAACATAATCCATCATATCAACAAAAGAAAAGATAAAAAGCACATGATCATATCAATAGATGCAGAGAAAGCATTTGACAAGATCCAGCACCCCTTTATGATGAAAACCCTAGCCAAAATGGGTATAGAGGGGACTTTCCTAAACATAGTTAAAGCCATCTACCACAAGCCTACAGCAAGCATCATCCTCAATGGGGAAAAACTGAGAGCCTTCCCTCTAAGATCAGGGACAAGACAAGGATGCCCACTCTCTCCACTGCTGTTCAATATATTACTGGAAGTACTTGCAATAGCGGTTAGGCAAGAAAAAGATATTAAGGGCATTCAGATAGGAAAGGAAGAAATCAAGCTCTCACTATTTGCAGATGATATGATACTATACTTAGAGAACCCAATAATCTCCACCAAAAAACTCCTAGAAACAATAGACTTGTATAGTAAAGTTGCAGGCTATAAAATCAATACCCAAAAGTCCATGGCTTTCCTATACGCAAACAGTGAGAGAGAGGAAAGTTACATGAAAAAATCAATCCCGTTCACAATTGTGCCCCAGAAAATCAAGTACCTAGGAATCAGCTTAATTAAGGAAGCAAAGGACCTATACAAAGAAAACTACAAAATGCTACTTCAGGAAATAAAAGAGGACATGAGGAAATGGAAAGATATCCCCTGCACATGGGTCGGGAGACTTAACATTGTCAAAATGGCAATACTACCGAAAGCATTGTATAAATTCAATGCAATCCCTATAAGGATGCCCATGACATTCTTCAAAGAAATGGAGCAAACACTCCTGAAATTTATATGGAATAATAAGCCCCCACGAATAGCTAAAGCATTTCTTGGGAAAAAGAAAATGGGAGGAGTCAACCTCCCTAACCTCAAACTTTACTACAAAGCGGTAATAATCAAAACAGCATGGTACTGGAACAAAGGCAGAACTGCAGACCAATGGAACAGAGTTGAATACACGGACATCTGCACTTGTTTGTTCATTGCAGCACTCTTTACAGTAGCCAGAAACTGGAAGAAACCTGAGTGCCCAAGAACAGATGACTGGTTAAAGAAACTTTGGTACATCTACACAATGGAGTACTATGTAACTCTTAGAAAAGATGAAGTCATGAACTTTACATACAAGTGGTACAATATGGAAAGTATCATGCTAAGTGAAATGAGTCAGAAAGAGAGGGATAGACATAGAAAGATTGCATTCATCTGGGGGATATAAAATAACAAAATATAAGATTAATACCCAAGAATAGCTGAGATCAACACCAGGAGGATTACTCCATAGCTTAGAGGCCAGCCGGGTATTCTAGGGGAAAGGACAGTTCAGATAGGGAAGGGAGCACCAAATGAAGGGTGTTTGGAGGATCCTCCCAGGAGGGGAGATGCAGGTTGAAAGTAGGCTGGACTGAACATGTTTGCCACTCAATGCCTCTTTTGCTGATCACAACACCCAAAAGGAGAGAGAAAACAAAAGGAAATGCCCTGCCACAGTGGCGGGGGGGGGGGGGATTGGGGGAACGGGGGGGGGGGGATATTTTCCTTGGTAGTGGAAAATGGGCACTGGTGGAGGGATGGGTATTTGATCATGGTATGACCGAAATCCAAGCACAAAAATTTGTAAGTCGACAACTGTACCTCATGGTGTTTCACTAATAAAAATTTTTTTAAAAAGTATATGTTGTTACAAATCTATTGGCTATGAAATGTGCGGGCTTTGCTGTAACGACCAGTGAAGGCCTATATAAGATCCCCTTTGAAGATGTTCGGGGTCTTGCCTCACCTATCTGACCTGCATGTCTGTGTAGGCAGCTCGACCCTGTCTTACAATAAACCTTGCTTGCTGTTTGCAGTCTCTGGAGTCTCTTTGTCGTTAAAGGGAGATCACGATCTGCGTCCTAACACTATGATGGGTGTAACTGATAAACCTAAGCTCCTTGTGTTGGGATCGGGAGTTCCCTAGCCCTGGGAGGTGCGGAGAGACAAGACAGACACAATTCCTGCAGGAGTAAAAATGGGATTTATTTAGACCAGCATGCTGGGGCTCCGCAGCATACCTCAGAGTGGGCAGTGGCTGAGAGCCCCGAGCTTCTTCAAAGGGGATCTTATATAGGCCTTCACTGGCCGTTACAACAAGGCCCGCACATTTCATAGCCAATAGATTTGTAACAACATATACTTTCTTAAACAATCCATTTAAAAGTACCTCACTCCTTAGCCTATAGATTCAAAGATAAGCATTTACGTACATGGATTGTCAGCACAAGCAAGGTTATAGCTGGAATCATTAAGCCTTAGGTAATCTCCCTTTGACCATCCTTGTTTTGAGTTACCCAAGTCTGCAGGCTGCTTTAGTAAGACAATACACTCCAGGAAAGGGCAATTTCCCCCAAGCACCGCATCCTGAGTTATCCTTTACTCAAGTCTGCAGGGTGCTTTACTGAGACAATACATTTCAGGAACAGTAAATACACCTGAATCCTGTCACACTTGGTTTAGAAAGAAGTTATACCCTGTTCACTTTCCAAGTCCCCTCTCCCCCAGGTGCAAAGCAGCCAAGCAGTTTTACAGAAAGCAATGTTGCAAGTTAGCTGAAGCACGCAAAAATTTGATGCCCTAATATGAATTCTTTCACTTGTGGCAAGGGAGAAAGGACAAATCAATTGTTATCCTACAGTAAGGCAAAAATGTTAAAAAGCAGTAGGAGTAAATAAGGTTACTACTGATAATATTTAATTTTTTAATTTAATACATCTGTATGCTTGCCTGCCCCCCTCTGGGGTGCCCTGAGTGATAAACAGCCTGGCACAGGATCCGGCTGCACGATTATGGCTCAAGGCTCCTCCTACCTTTAAAGTATGTGTTCTACCTCTACTTTGATCCATTTCCCCTACTTCCCATACTAAGTTGCAGTTTATTCCAATACTCTCTCCATTCACTCCTATCTCTCCCCAGCCTCCCACAGCCCATTCTTACAGTCTCATTATATCCCCCAGCATGAGGGGTTGGTGTTGTATTGACCACTTCAAAGTGTTCAGAAGAGCTCCTTTAGTTGAATCATTAATCAGACATGTATTCCTTTCAAATACCCTCAGATGCAAGATTCAGGTCATTGGGGCTAGTATGTCTACATCCAAAAGTTCAAAGTTTAGGTAAATGTATAGCTGTAAGAGAAAGGGTTTCAAGGGCACATACTTGGCAGGATTTAGGCCCTCTCCCTCACCCCCCCCCCCCATTTGGCGATCACTAGTCCCTAGAGACATCTTATTATCTCTTTCTTACTTTAGACAACCTGGCAGGCTACCAAATGTAATCTGCCCACATGGCAGAGTCTGGCAAACTCCCGTGGCAACCCAGTATGCCAAATACCAGTAACAATAATGGGTCTCATTCTCTTAACCCTGTAAGAGCCTTGAATATGGCACTTTTTAAAATCTCAGGGCTAGAATGAAGGAGACGTTACTGGTGCCTGCTCAAGGCAATCGACGAACAACAGGATGATCGTGATCGTGATCGTGACATCTGTATGCACAAAAACTAAAAACTATGGTTTTATATTTAAAATATATAGACAATTATAATTTACATATTTATTTTTTATTTTTTATTTTTTGTACATACTTAGGAGGCAAGACACTTTGTACATTGCTATTTCGTCCTATTTGGGACTCATCAGTACAGTGTACCTGAACAATCTAAAATTCAAAGCATTACTGTTTATAAACCCAGAAGCATACAAACATGTCTGCTTGGATACCAATTGTCGAAAAGAGTTTCACCACTTCAATCTGTTGTAAAAGTGGAATTGTAAATCAAACATGATAGATGATTTATTTCTAATATTTTAATTATTTAGTTATATATTATTATAAGGGCTGCCCAGAACAGTTCTCGGGAAGTTTGGTAGACACTCCGAATTACTCTCAGCCCTGAAATTGGGTCTCACAACTTGATGTGGGGCTGAGCCAAGGGATCATCAGCTGTACTGAAGACCATCAGGGCTGAGCTGTGGGTGTCGGAGGGGGAGGGCATCACACTCAGGGCCTCAAGCATTCTAGGCATGTGCTCTACTGCTCCAAGTAGCTCTTCAGCCCAAGAATGGCGATACTTTGTATGTATTCTCAAAGTAAAAATGCTAAAGTGTAAAAATTATTTTGTAATCAAGGAGAATTCTTTAAAATGCAGAAAACAACAATGCTGCTTCAGTATCTCCTTACACGTGTATCAGACAACAAAAGAACTCTCAGTATATCAACATATTTTAAATTGCAAAATCACTTAGATTTTTCTCATGGGTTATTAAAAATATTTTGTCTAGTTTTAGCAAACAAGTTTAGGTCAACAATTTCAGAACAATATTCAGCAACTGTAGATAACAAGCACAATGCAGCTTTTCTTCTTAGGAGTTTGAAGCAATTTGACAAATGGAGACAATGGGCTTGCTGCAAATCCATTTTCTCTCTAAGTAAATCCTGCCACTGCTCTGGCCTTTGTCATTCAAGAAGGCGTATTCCCCAGTTCCACTGACATTAAATCTAAAACAAAACAAAACAAAACAAAATAATTACTCATGTGCTGAACATCTTGCATGTCATCTATAATTCCTCTACTCAACTTTTTTCAATAGAAATAAAAAGAAAATAAAAATCTGTCACTTATGTGACTTCTTAGTAATGAACACTATTTTTATATTTAGTTCATTTTAGAACTTCAAGACACGTGCTTGAACATCACCAACTGTAATCATTCATCGAATCCAAGTCTAGTTATATTGTTGATCTAGTCACTTTACGTATTTTGTCATAAGTTGTATCAGTGAAAATCATTCTCAGTCTTCTCATGAACTGCTTAATAAGTTTATGAAAAAAATACTTATTAACATTGTGATAAAGAGCTTCATTTTGATGAAAGTGATCAGACCTTTATATATGATGGCTTTCCAATGACCTCATTGAACTGTCCACAACACAGGGAACTACTGTTTCTATTGGTAAATCTCTCAGAGAGATTTCCACAGCTTCTCTTTGAAACATTATTCCTCTCTTTTGTGAATGAATGCAGCCACTGGAAAACGGATTATTTTAAATAATTAAGATTGTGGGGGTTTTTAATTTTTTTAATTTTATTGAATAACCGTGAGATAGTTACAAGCTTTCATATTTGGGTTACAATCACACAGTGATCAAACACCCATCCCTCCACCAGTGCATTCCCCACCACCAATATCCCTGGTATAACCCCCCTTTCCCACCCTCCCTCTGCCTCCATGGCAGACATGATTCCCTATAATCTCTACTTTGGGGCATTATGGTTTGCAATACACACCCTGAGAGGTTATCATGTTTGATCCTTTTTCTACTTTCTGCACACATCTCCCATCCTGACCGGTTCCTCAAGCCATCATTTTCTTAGTGATCCCTTCTCTATTCCAGCTGCCTTCTCCCCTTTGCTCACAAGGCAGGCTTCCAGCTATGGAGCAATCTATCTGTCCTGTGTATCTACTACCCATAGGTGTCAGCCTCATGTTATGTTGTTTTATACTCCATAAATGAGTACAGTTCTTCTATGTCTGTCCCTGTTTCTGACTCATTTCACTTAGCATGGTACTCACCATGTCTATCCATTTATAAGCAAAGCTTATGACCTCATCTCTCCTGACAGCTGCATAGTATTCCATTGTGTAGATGTACCAATGTTTCTTTAACCAATCATCTGTTCTAGGGCACTTGGGTTGTTTCCAGATTTTGGCTATTGTGAATAGTGCTGCAATGAACATATAGGTACAGTGTCATTTCTACTGTTCCTTTTTGCATCCTCGGAATATATTCCCAGGAGTGGTGTTGCAGGGTCATATGGAAGCTCAATTTCTAGTTTTTGAAGACGGTCCATATTGTTTTCCAGAAAGGCTGGACTAGTGGGTGTTCCCACCAACAGTGAAAGAGTGTCCCTTTTTCTCACATCTACGCCAGCACTGGTTGCTTTTGTTTTTTGAATGTGTGCCAGTCTCTGTGGTGTGAGATGATATCTCATTGTTGTTTTGATTTGCATTTCCCTGATGGCTAGCAATGAGGAGCATTTTTTCATGTGCCTTTTGGCCATTTGTAGTTCTTTTTTGAGAAAACTTCTGTTCATTTCTTCTCCCCATTTTTCGATGGAGTTGGAGGTTTTTTTCTTGTACAATTCTACTAGTGTCTTGTATATCCTGGATATTAATGCCTTACCAGATGGGTATTGGGTAAATATTCTTTCCCATTCTGTGGGCTTTTTCTGTATTTTGGCTGCTGTTTCTTTTGAAGTACAGAAGCTTCTTAGTTTGATGAAGTCCTATTGTTTATGTTTGCTTTCACTTGTATGGTCAATGCTGTTTCATCCTTAAAGATGCTTTTAGCTTCAATGTCATGGAGAGATCTGCCTACATTTTCCTCTATGTACCTTATGGATTCATGTCTGATATTGAGGTCTTTAATCCACTTTGATCTGACTTTTGTGCCTGGCGATAGCACAACGGGTAGGGCGTTCGCCTTACAAGCGGCCAACATGGCCGACCCGAGTTCGATTCCTCCGCCCCTCTCGGAGAGCCCGGCAAGCTACCGAGAGTATTCGATATGCCAGACACAGTAACAACAAAGTCTCCAATGGAGACGTTACTGGGCCCGCTCGAGCAAATCGACGATCAACGGGAGGGCCTTTACCTTTACCTTTACCTTTGTGCCTGGCATTAGACAGAGGTCAGAGTTCATTTTTTTTGCAGGTAGCTATCCAGTTTTCCCAGCACCACTTGTTGAAGAGGCTTCCCTTGTTCCACTTCACATTTCTTCCTTCTTTGTCAAAGATTAAGTGGTCATATATTTGAGGGTCTGTGACGGAATATTCAACTCTGTTCCATTGGTCTGCAGGTCTGTTTCTAGCCCAGTACCATGCTGTCTTAATTACTACTGCTTGGTAGTACAGTTTGAAGTTGGGAAGGGTGATGCCACTAATCTTTTTCCCAAGGAATGCTTTAGCTGTTCGTGGGGGTTTATTGTTCCGTATGAATTTCAGAACTGTTTTGTCTATTTCTTTCAAAAATGTCATGGGTATCCTGATAAGGGCCGCATTGAATTTGTATAGTGCTTCCGGCATTATTGCCATTTTGATAATGTTAATCCTCCCTATCCATGAGCAGGGGGTGTGTCTCCATTTCTTAGTGCCTCTTTTATTTCTTGAAGTAGTGTTTTGTAATTTTCCCTGTAGAGATCCTTCACCTCTTTGGTTAAGCTGATTCTGAGGTACTTGATTTTCTGAGGTACTATTGTGAACGAGATTTTTGTATTAATGTCTATTTCTTCTCTTTCGTTATTTGTATATAAAAAAGTCATGGATGTTTGGGTGTTGAATTTGTAGCCTGGCACTTTACTAAACCGACCTATTGTTTCTAAGAGGTTTTCTGTAAAGTCTTTAGGGTTTTCTATTTATAGTATTATATCGTCTAAAATAGTGAAAGGGGCTGGAGGGAGTGATGGCACAGGAGGTAGGGCATTTGCCTTGCACGCAGCCAATCCAGGTTCGATTCCTGGCATCCCATATGGTTCCCTGAGTACTGCCAGGAGTAATTCCTGAGTGCATGAGACAGAAGTAACCCCTGTTCATCGGCGGGTATGACCCAATAAGCAAAATAATAATAGGCAAAGGTAAAGGTAAAGGCCGTCCCGTTGATCGTCGATTTGCTCGAGCAGGCCCAGTAACGTCTCCATTGGAGACTTTGTTGTTACTGTGTTTGGCATATCAAATACTCTTGGTAGCTTGCCAGGCTCTCCAAGAGGGGCAGAGGAATCGAACTCGGGTCGGCCATGTTGGCCGCTTGTAAGGCGAACGCCCTAACGCTGTGCTATCGGGCTGGAGCGATAGCACAGCGGTAGGGCGTTTGCCTTGCATGCAGCCAACATGGCCGACCCGAGTTCGATTACTCCGCCCCTCTCAGAGAGTCCGGTAAGCTACCAAGAGTATCTCGCCCGCACGGCAGAGCCTGGCAAGCTCCCCGTGACGTATTTGATGTGCCAAACACAGTAACAACAAAGTCTCCAATGGAGACGTTACTGGGCCTGCTAGAGCAAATCGATGAAAATAATAATAATATTTAAAAAATAAAGTAAAATAAAGGCCCTCCCGTTGATCGTCGATTTGCTCTAGCGGGCCCAGTAACATCTCCATTGGAGACGTTGTTGTTACTGTGTCTGGCATATCGAATACGTCATGGGGAGCTTGCCAGGCCCTGCAGTGCAGGCTAGATACTCTCGGTGGCTTTCTGGGCTCTCCAAGAGGGGCGGAGGAATCGAACTCAGGTTGGCCATGTTGGCTGCGTGCAAGGCAAACGCCCTACCACTGTGCTATCGCTCCTTTACTTTTACTTTAAAAAATAAAAATAAAATAGTGATAGCTTGACCTCTTCCTTTCCTATCTGTATTCCATTGACACCTTTCTCTTGCCTAACTGGAATGTCTAGGACTTCCAGTATCATATTGAATAGGAGTGGCGAAAGTGGGCAAACTTGTCTTGTGCCCGATCTTAGAGGGAAGGCTTTTAGTTTTCCCCCATTGAGAATACTTGCCGTGGGCTTGTGGTAGATTGTAGGATAACACTCTTTTGTCCTTCCTCAGGTAATTTAGGTTTGTCAGGTCACACCCATCTAAGAACACTGAACTTGTATTGTAAACAATGTCCTTTCTGTGTGGACACAGGAAGACAGTTAATATTATGCTTTTTAACTTGGGAGTTGATTGACTCCGAATAATATTTACTCCTGGGCATCTGATTTCTTGACTCAGTTTCCCTTAGTTCCTAGCACCCCAAAAGCAGGGTCCCGACGAGGGACTTAATGGACCCAGGGCAAGCAGTGAGCTACCCTGGCATCGAAATGGGCCAGACCAAAGTGCCACGATACTCAACTATAAGTTGAGGGCATGATCATGGACAAATGCTGTCATGATCCAAAAGTAAGTCACGACGAGACTAGTACCCTGCTGGAGCTAGGAAGATTAACCTGGCCTGAGGACTGCGAAATGTATAGTGAGATGTTCTCAGGAAGAACCAAACTAAATTTATATCTCTTACTGTGCTCATACAGAATGACATTGCTAGAAATATTAGAAGTAGATTTATTACAACTATGTAAGTAGATTACTGAGGGAAGAAAACACCCTTGTTGGGATCCCACCCTTGGGTGGATCTCCTAGTAATCTGAAGTAATCTCTGTAGATAAGATTTCATCCTTGAGTTAATCTCCTGGAGGAGTGGTCTTACCTCTCTTTGTTGATTCGTCAGTATTCAACCCACCTTTATGTCACCGCCTTATGTGACTGCTATATAAACTAAGACGTAAGCTCGGAAAGGGAGTCAGAAGCGAGAGAGCTCGGGCTCCAGAGATTCAGAGTCAGAGCCAGAAGGAGAGAGGTTCCAAGATTGGGGCCCAGGAGAGAAGAGGGCAGAGAAAGACAGGAGTGAAGAGGATTGGAATAAACTACTATTGATATAGACTGGCCTGGCCCCTGTTTCTTCT